CAACTGGAGACCGACATCGCCTACCATACAACGCCTCATATGGAGCCATCTGAATGCTGTACTGGTAGTTGTTGTTGTAGGCGAACTCTGCTAAAGGCAAAAACTGGTCCCACGAGCCTCCAAAATCAATGACACAGGCTCGGAGCATATCCTCCAAAATCTGAATAGTCTGTTCGTACTGACCGTCCGTCTGAGGATGAAACGCTATGCTCAACTCAACCCGCGTGCCCAACTCTCGCTGAACTGCACCCCAGAAACGCAAGGTAAACTATGTACCCCGGTCCGAAATGATAGATACCGACACACCATGAAGGCGAACAATCTCCCGGATATAAATCTCAGCTAACCTCTCGGATGAATAGGAGACTGCCACAGGAATGAAATGTGCTGACTTGGTCAGCCTATCAACAATAACCCATATTGCATCGAACTTCTTCCGAGTCAATGAAAGTCCGGTAACGAAATCCATGGTAATCCTCTGCCACTTCCACTCGGGAAGCTCAATCCTCTGAAACAAACCACCAGGCCTCTGATGCTCATACTTAACCTACTGACAGTTCAAACATCGAGCCACATATGCAACAATATCTTTCTTCATCCTGCGCCACCAATAGTGCTGCCTCAGATCCTGTTACATCTTCGCGGCGCCCGGGTGAATAGAATATCGAGAACTATGGGCCTCCGCTAAGATCAACTCTCGAATCCCATCGACATTGGGCACACAAACTCGCCCCTACAATCTCAAAACACCATCACTATCTAAGGTCACTTTCTTGGCACCTCCACGCTGCACCGTGTCTCTCAGGACACACAAATGGGGGTCATCAAACTGCCGATCACGGATACGCTCCAATAATGAAGAACGAGCGACCGTGCAAGCTAACACTTGGCTAGGCTCAGAAATATCTAATCTCACCAATCGATTGGCCAAGGCCTGAACATCCAAAGCAAGCGATCTCTGGCTGACCGGAATGTAAGCAAGACTGCCCATGCTGGCGAACTTCCTACTCAATGCATCGGCCACCACATTGGCTTTCCTCGGGTGGTACAAAATAGTAACATCATAATCTTTCAATAACTCCAACCACCTCCTCTGCCTCAAATTCAACTCCTTTTGCTTGAACAAGTACTGAAGACTCTTGTGATCAGTGTACACCTCACACGTCACGCCATATAGATAATGCCTCCAAATCTTCAGAGCATGAACAATGTCTGCCAACTCTAGGTCATGAACCGGATAATTCTTCTCGTGGATCTTCAACTGCCTCGAAGCATAGGCTATGACTCTGCCATCCTGCATCAATACTGCACCAAGTCTAATACGGGAAGCATCACAATAGACAGTATAAGGCCCTGAGCCTGTGGGCAAAAGCAATACCGGTGCCGTAGTCAGAGCTGACTTGAGCTTCTGAAAGCTCGCCTCACACTCATCTGACCATCTGAACTGGGCACCCTTCTAGGTCAATCTGGTCATCGGGGCTGCGATAGATGAAAACCCCTCCACGAACCGACGATAGTAGCCTGCTAACCCCAAGAAACTCCGGATCTCTGTGGCTGATGCTGGTCGAGGCCAGTTCTTGACTGCCTCTATCTTCTTCGGGTCCACTTGAATACCCTCTGCTGATACAACGTGACCCAGAAATGCTACTGAACTCAGCCAGAACTCACACTTGGAGAACTTGGCATATAACTGACTATCCCTCAGAGTCTGAAGAACCACTCTGAGGTGCTGCTCGTGATCCTCCTGGCTGCGGGAGTATACCAAAATATCATCAATAAAGACTATCACGAACATGTCCAAATATGGCCTGAACACTCGGTTCATCAACTCCATAAATGTTGTTGGGGCATTGGTCAACCCAAATGACATGACCAAAAACTCATAATGCCCATACCGAGTGCGGAATGCTGTCTTAGGGACATCAGACGCCCTAATCCTCAGCTGATGGTAGCCAGATCTCAAGTCTATATTTGAAAACACCTTCGCACCCTGAAGCTGGTCGAACAAATCGTCAATCCTCGGCAGTGGATACTTGTTCTTTATCGTCACTTTGTTCAACTGCCGGTAATCAATGCACATCCTCATCAAACCATCCTTTTTCTTCACAAATAAAGCTGGCGCACCCCAAGGCGAAACGCTGGGTCTAATGAAACCCTTCTCAAGCAAATCCCGCAACTGATCCTTTAACTCTTTCAACTCTGGCGGGGCCATGCGATACGGCGAAATGAAAATGGGCTGAGTGCCCGGAGCCAGATCAATACAAAAATCAACATCCCTGTCGGGCGGCATACCCGGCAGGTCTGAAGGAAAAACCTCGGGGAACTCCCGAACAATAGGAACAGAATCAATAGAAGGGACCTCTGCGCTGGAATCGCGAACATACACCAAATAAGCTAGGCACCCCTTCTCGACCATGCGTCGAGCCTTCACATATGAAATAACACTGCGGGTGGCATGACCTGGGGTCCCTCTCCACTCCAATCGGGGCAAATCCGGCAAAGCCAAGGTCACGGTCTTGGCGTGACCATCCAAGATAGCATGATTCGGGGACAACCAATCCATCCCTAATATAACGTCGAAATCCACCATGTCCAAGAGCAATAAATCGACACGTGTCTCAAGACCCTCAAACACCACCACACAGGAACGATGCACTCGGTCGACCACTATAGAATCACTCACCGGTGTAGATACATGAACAGGAATACTCAAAGCATCACTAGGCATGACCAAGTACGGTACAAAAATAGGACGACACATACGAATACGTAGACCCAAGGTCAAATAGCACTGAAGCATCTCTAATACTAATCAGAATGGTACCTGTAATGTCTGCATCTGAAGACTCAGCCTCTGGCCTGGCTGCTGGCTGGCCTCTACCTCTGGCGGCCTGAACTCCACCTCTATGACCTCTACCTCCACCTCTAACACCTCTGCCACCGCCTCTAACTGGCTGGGCAAGCTGAGGAACCTCTGGTGCCCGAATCCCAGTACGAGAACTCTGATGCTGAGAGCTGCTCAAAGCTCGAGGGCAAAATCTGACAATGTGCCTCGGATTACCACAAGCATGGCAAGACCTCTTCTGCTGCGGCTGAGCACCCCTCAACCTCGGGCAAACCCTCCTGTTATGACCATACTCACCACACTCATAACATCTACACGAACGCTGCAGCTGAGGAAACTGAGGCTGACCCTGTCGACCTGAATGACCACCTGAAGTACCATGAGCGACCTGGGGAGCTGACTGAAAGGGCCTAGGAGGATGGCCTCTACCATAAGAACCTCTACATCTAGACGAGGTACCACTGAATCTGCCTGCATGACGTGGCCTCTTATCCGACCCATGACCATCTCCCTATGGCAAAACCCTCTCAACTCTACGGCCCACATCGGCCGCCTCCTGAAAAGTGATCTCACTCCCGGCCTGAGCCACTGTGCCCGGCTGACCTGCCACCGCTGGCTGAACTCCTGGAAGCAAACCCGCTCGAATGACGCTATCCACGAAGCCTACCAATCGGACTAGAGCGTCCTGAAGAACTGGGATGGCAATGAACCCCTCTGGGACCTGAGTTGGGCCCACCGGGACTGCTGGGGCGGGAACCTCCTCCTCCAAATCAACCTGAGGCTTCGCCACCGGAGCTACTGCTGGGGACTCGGACTGCTGAGCGGTAGATGAAGAAGCGCGTGTTCTCGCCATCTGCGGAAGAACAGAGTAGAAATTCAATCGGTACTTGAGAAATAGAACCGCACGACAAGAAAGAACAAATGTGAAACTTTCCTAACTCTGTAGCCTCTGGGGATAAATACAGACGTCTCCGTACCGATACCTCAGACTCTACCGAGTTTGTCCGTGAGTTGTGAGACCCATGTAACCTAGAGCTCTGATACCAACTTGTCACGACCCAGATTTTTCCACCCTTCGGGAGTCGTGATGGCGCCTACTAATAGGAGCTAGGCAAGACAACTTAATTTACTTCTTTTAGCAATTATCTTCCATTTAATGAAACAAAGCATAATATGATAAAGCGGAAGTATCAAATATAATTAACTGAAGGAAATGCAGAAGTTTAACAAAATCCTATACCCAAGACTGGTGTCACACTACTCACGAACGTCTAGAGAATACTAAATACAAGGTTTGAATGAAACATAACACTGTCTGCTTGGTACAAATGATAACAAACTGAATAAGATAAAAAGGGACTCCGGGCCTGCGGACGCCAGCAAGGCTACCTCGAATGTCCCTGGACTGAAAGCTCGCTCCCAGAATGCTACTGCTACTCAAATGCTGCTCCAACACCTGGATCTGTGCAAAAAGATGCACAGAGTGTAGCATCAGCACAACCGACCCCATGTGCTGGTAAGTGCCTAGCCTAACCCCGGCGAAGTAGTGACGAGGCTAGACCAGACTACCAGATAAACCTGTGCAGATATATATATACAAGTACAACAAAATGATAGCGAAAAAAACCAATTAAAGCTGGGAGGGGGAAACATGCTTATGGGGTAGCAGATTAAACAGAATATCAGGAATAACAAAAGAAACTACATCTGATTTCTTCTACCACAGAATAAGGGGAAAAAAACAAATCACTTTCACTTGCTTCAATTTCCTCTCGTTGCAGGCGTGCAACACGATCCCATTTCCTCATATCACGTGGTAGGCGTACCACTCGATCCCATTTCATAATATCACGTGGTAGGCGTACCACTCGCTCCCATTTCATAATATCACGTGGTAGGCGTACCACTCGCTCCCATTTCCATCATATAAAATAATAGCTAAATAAATCAAGCCCAATGCCTAAATATAGATTCCCAACCTTTCTTCCAAAAATTCCAAAATTGACCCCGGGCCCGCTTGGTCAAAACACGCCCCCACGAGCCTGAATATACAATTTGTTTTCAAATTCGACCCCAAAACGAGGTCTAAATCGAAGAAAATCGAAAAGCCCTAACTCTACCCAATTCCCCCAATTTCAACCCTAGATCTACGGGGATGGGGCCGAATTGGGCAAGCGCGAACGCGAAGGAGGAAGACACAGAGCTACGTGAATGCGAGGGGAAGAGTGCGAACGCGAAGAAGGCCTGTGCCAACACCAGATTAAGATTAGGTGCTGAAAAGCACTTTTAAGTGCTGAAGCTGATTTAAAAATAAGCAGTTACGTGTTTGGATAAAAGTGCTGATTATCTTAAGGTTGATAACTGACCAAATTTCACAGGAAGCACTTAAACCACATATACCCCGATTCCCAAATAATTCAAACCTTAACCACTTGAGATCAACATAGAGGAGTGAAATATACAAACAATAAAGAACCACGGTATAAACGGGGAATGTCCAACCTCACGGAATTTCAAACAATGGAAACATGTAAAACATGTGACAGTTAAAATATACAATTAAAGCAAACTGAAACAAGTAGCAAATAAGCAGAAATCGCATGGGAAATGAACAAATCAAGGTAAGTAGCAGTTAAATAACAAGTAGCAAATATTACATAGATGTCAAGTAAAAACATGTAACAGTTAGAGCGTACACCACGAAATAACATGGAACAAATGAAAACATGAAAGTAAATACTTCAACTCCGCATGCTAAATCCCGGGCGGCGCACATACACTGGCCACCTCGCATATACGCCGCTTCCCCACATAATACACATAGCAAATCTTGCGTTAAGAAATTAATTTCTTAATCATCTAATTGACTAATAGTTGCTTTGTAGAAAATTATAAATAACATCTCCAAAATTAAAGAAAAATTAGATGAAAAACATAAGAATATTAGCAACAAAGTAGTTACGTCCAAATTATAGGAGTGTAACTTAAATTATAATTTTATCCAATGTAAAACTTATTTTTAAAGGGTAGTTGAATGATATTTTACTAAGGGGTTTTATGCTTTTAATATAGTTAGATAAATAGATAGATGTATATGCCATTTAGATATGTGTATATAACAGTAATATACAAGTAGTATATTATGTGTATATAATATTTATAAAACTATCATTTATTTTGAAATATATGTAATGTTTATACAATAAATATATGGCAAATTGTATTATAATATTACAATATACTCCAAAAGTTAATTTTATACTATAAAGATACAGAAGCTACTATTTTGTATTTATAAATAATTATATTTGAAGTTTGGATATTCTCCCCTAAGCCACTAATCGCTTTCGTATTTTCTTTCTCTCTCTACTTTGTCTTTTTGCTTTGTCTTCTTCTATTTGGGAATTTAGAGTTCTTTTCGACAGAATCAAACCAACTTCATCAATCCAGAGCAATTCCACGTGACATCCACGCCACAACTTTATCTTTCGCGATGAAGAAGAAGATTTCTGTTAATATATTTCAATGTAATATCAACGTATTACGCTGTATTTTCATGTATTTTATTGTATTCATTGTCTTTTTTTTCATTGTAATTCAATGTATCTCGCTGTATTTCATTGTATTCTCTGTCTTTTTTTTCATTGTATTTCAATGTATCTCGCTGTATTATATGTATTTCATTGTATTCACTGTCTCGCTATATGCCATGAATGTATTCATATGTTTTTTTTAATTAATATAATTTATGTATTCAGATGTATTATATAATTTCTCTGAAGATTGCTATATTTTTGGGGTATTTTTCGGTTGAGAATCTTTTTTATAACTGGAAATACAAATTTTGTGTGTTATAATTGAGTTAGTTGAGTTATATTAGGAGTCTATATGTTAATTGATTCACTTTCCGTTTAAAAATAGTGTAATCCCATGTTTCACGCCGCGAATACAGTCGAATACAGTCGGATACAATAATCTGTCGAGCTGTAATCCCATGTTTCACGCCATGAATACAGTCGAATACACTCGAATACAACAACTGATTAGCTTGACTTCCTTGATTCACGCCTATTTTTGCTACTGTATCCATGAATACAATAGCTTAAATACATCTAATACATCTTATAACAACAGAAAACGTATCTACAATCCGTAATATAACAAATGATATCTATAGATAGCTAATTACCACTAAAAGATAGTGCTTTATGAAAAGGAATTTTTACATTCCTATGCCATATAGTAAACTATATTACCCTTCATGCTTAATTTTTAATATAATTACCTTCTATATACCTAATTCCATTTATGTCTTTGGCAGAGGAGAAGATTTTTTTAAGTTATATATATTACTATACCTTTAAATTCAAGAAAGTATGGTTGTATTGTATTTAAAGAGGCGTGATTTGTAGAATAGGTTGAATGTGAGGAATGAGTCAAATAAGACTCACAGTGGCTTATTTTCTACATTTAATCTATAACAAAACTACATATCATTTGAAAAATTAATATGAAAATACGAATTAACAACTTATCTACAATTTTCTACAACTTTCACACATTATTTCCACCCAGTGAAATACAACTACAATAACATAAAACTTACATACAAATTTTATACAATATGTCTTTTGTATATTTTGTATCTAATTTATACATAGTAAAAAAATTTTCATACAACTAATTATATATTATACAACTTATCTACAAATTTCGTACATTATTTCTACTAAGTTATATACAACTACAATATACCAAATATAATATGCAAACTATGAACATATTTGGTAATATGGGTATAGGAACGAAAATTTCCCATTATGAAATTTTAGAACAGAGAATGGCTTGTTGATAGGAATAGGCGTGACAGGAGGCGAGAGAGGGATCGAGATGATAGAAGAGAACGGGGCAATGATAGGGATAGGGATAGGGATAGGGATAGGGATAGGGATAGGGGTAGGGATTGGGATGATAGGGATAGGGGTAGGGAGAGCGAGAGGGATAGAGACTGGGATAATCATGGTGATGATAGAGGTGAATATAAGGGACGGGAAAGGCATAGGGATCGGGAGCGGGACAGGAATAAATATGAGAAGAATAGGAGAGATGGGTATGGGGAAGGTGAGGAGGATGATATAAGGTCTGGGAGGCATCAGGACAGGAACAAGTATGAGAGCAATAGGAAGATGTTGTTCCATCACGACGACCATTGAAGAGAATGAGTTCTCCCGAAATATGGGAAGCAAAACAACTCATAGCTGCAGGTGTTATGAGTGTAAAGGAATTTCAATGCCGGAGACTGGTGAGAGGCATCTGGCACAGGAGTTGAGGGGTGTCGGTTTATCTGCCTATGACATGCCAGAATGGAAAAAGGATGCTTATGGTAAAGCCTTGACCTTTGGGCAGAGGTCTAAACTATCTCTCCAGGAGCAGAGGAAGAGCCTTCCAATTTACAAGTTGAAGAATGAACTGGTACAGGCTGTCCATGATAATCAGGTCCTTGTCGTCATTGGCGAGACAGGTTCTGGCAAGACAACACAGGTGACACAGTATTTAGCTGAGGCAGGGTATACAACGAAGGGCAAAATTGGATGTACTCAACCTCGTCGAGTGCTATGTCAGTGGCTAAGAGAGTTGCTGAGGAATTTGGTTGTCGTTTAGGGGAAGAAGTTGGTTATGCTATCCGTTTCGAGGATTGTACTGGACCAGAAACTGTTATAAAGTATATGACTGATGGTATGCTTCTGAGGGAGATCTTGATTGATGAAAATTTGTCCCAGTATTCAGTCGTAATGCTTGATGAAGCGCACGAGAGAACCATTCACACTGATGTTCTCTTCGGACTGCTTAAGCAACTTGTGAAGAGGAGACCTGACCTCCGTCTGATAGTCACATCTGCAACCTTGGATGCAGAGAAATTTTCTGGATATTTCTTCAACTGCAACATCTTTACAATCCCAGGAAGAACTTTTCCAGTAGAGGTGCTTTACACTAAACAACCAGAAAGCGATTACCTTGATGCAGCTTTAATCACTGTACTACAGATCCACTTGACAGAACCTGAAGGTGACGTCCTCCTTTTCCTGACTGGTCAAGAGGAGATTGATTATGCTTGCCAATGTCTGTACGAGAGGATGAAAGGGCTGGGCCTTTTCACAAGCATCAGCAAAGCAACGAGCTGGACGTGCTGGAAGAACAGGACCTGGTAAATGCTACCGCCTATACACGGAGAGTGCGTTCCACAATGAAATGTCTCCTACTAGCATCCCTGAGATCCAGAGGATAAATCTTGGGAACACTGTACTTATGATGAAAGCCATGGGAATTAATGATCTTTTGTCGTTTGATTTCATGGACCCTCCTTCCCCTCAGGCTCTGGTATCAGCCATGGAACAGTTGTATCTCTTGCTTGTAGCGATCCCTTGTTGAAAACCAGCCCGTTTACATCCATCCTAGCAGTGCACTTTTTCAAAGACAACCGGACTGGGTTATTTACCATGAGCTGGTGATGACAACTAAGGAATACATGCGTGAAGTCACTGTTGTAGATCCGAAATGGCTTGTAGTGCAAGCGCAAGAGACAAGAACGCATTGGGGTTAATGCTGTGACCTTAATCACTTGTTTGTTCGGTGTAAAAGAATATTGCTCTATTTTAAAGTATAATTTTCGTCTTAGCAACTGTGGGATTACTTTTATAGAATGGGGATGAACAAGATGGTACGAACAGGGGCAATTTGGGGAACTTATTGTGTTGTCATTTAATAACATAGCAGGTAAGGAAATCTCTTATTTGGAATTTTGAACCTGGCTCCTGTTCGGGCCTGCTTTTTGGGTCGAATATCATTCCTTCTCACCTTTTCTTTGATATTTCTTGAACTTCATATACGTGAGGATTATGATATCATCATCCAATGTTATTGCAAGTGATGCTTTTCCATTTTTGCCGATTTATCCTTCGAATTGTTGTGTTGTATTTTGAAGCTTCTAGAAACCATGCTCTGGATTTTTTGTGCTTCTGGTTTTCTTCTTGTTTCTTTCCCCCCTCTTTTTTGGGTATGAGAATGCATGCTATCTGATGCATCCTACATTATATTATGCAGCTATCTTTTCTTATTGTTTTCCTTTTGCAATCAAAGCGTTGGTATTTATGTTGTTCTTCTTTCCCATATTTTGATTCTTCTGGTTTTCCCCTTGGTCCATTTTTTTTTGCTTCTCTTTAGTTCCTTCTCTGTTATTGCCTCAATCTTTTGTTAAGTCTTTTCAGTCAATTTCAGATTTAATTGTGATTATAATTCATGTTATTTTTCCTATCTATGCTTTGTTTTCAATCTTTTTTTTTCCGTGTCTTTTGTGTAGCTATCTTTTCAAGCCGCGTAAAGTAAATATGAGCATGGAGTAATAGGTTTTTATTGCTTTGGTGGTTTTATCGGTCTTCTGTTATTCTTATCTTATTTATTTTGGGCTGCTCAGTGTTGTCGGGAGGCCTCTTAAAATCAGAACACAGAAAAATGGAGTCTGTTGCCTTGTTGGTTTTGAAGTGCATGAATGAGTGTCGTGCAGTCTTCGACATATAACTTCGTCCACACATGTTTATCAGGACAAGCCTAAAGTAGTTTTGAATATAATGGTTGCCTATTGTGAATTCCTTCTGTCAGAGGTGATATTGAACTTTTACGTAACTTTGCTGTAATACATAACTAATATAGTCCTTGAATAGGTCACTTCTGTGCAAAAACCTTGTATATGAAAATTTGAAGGTATCTGCATACTGAACTTAACTCTCCAAACTCTTCATCTGTTGTTTTTTTGCTGTTCAATATTAGCTGTCGTGGCCCGCATTAGTGGAGTCCAATATGGTTATGTTTCATTCAAATTAAGTTGAGCTAAGCTGGCCTTTCTAATTCCTGCAGGTTTGTTTTACCTTTAAGAGAACACTTTGTCTTTGTTTTCAAAATGCCGAAAGCAAAACAACAAGCAGGCCAAACCAGGAGAAAACTGTTGATTTCAGATTCTCCAATTTCCAAGGTATAATAAGCTTCTTCCTCTAGATTCAGCTTTTGTAACTGACTTAGCTTTCTTAATGATGCTTTTTTTAATATATTTGAATTGCACATTATTGGATTCAAGATTTCTGCTTGAGCCATGTGTATTATACTTAAGCGATTCCGGGAGAGGATGATCATACAAGGAAAGGGTGACTGTTGATGTAACGCTGGAGGCATAAAGTGGTTCTGGTATGCGTTCAAGTTCATTTATTTGACATGACTCCAGATGCCATTTACCGATTAACAGTTATATTATATCAGATCCTGACCAGGATGGGCTAATTATTTGGACAAGAATTATAATGCAAGTATTCATTCTGTATACATTTAAAATTTCACCTTTCTCGGTCCTATCATCTTGTTGCAGCATGGACATAGAGGGCGATTGAAAATTTTAAGAAGTAGGAGTTGAAAAGATGAATAGTACTTGAATTTACTTGCGAACTTAAATCCTGCTCGTTATACTTTTTCAGCTAGACATAAACTACGGATTGCAGAGCGTGCTGCAAAAGCAGAAGCAATTGCATCTGGATGTTCTGATTCCCCAGAAAGATTATAGTATGAGTTATGAAGACATTCTTCAGCTTAAACCAACTTACTTGTTGGTGATATATGCATATTAGTATCTATGCATGTGCATTTAAATTTTTTGCGGCTGTATATTAGCATTTCTGTTACTTCTGAAAGTTGTATGCTGGATAGGGAGTTGAAATTGGTACTTGGCTGGCATTGTCTGATATTCTAATAGGATTTGATTTTATTTGCTTGGTTAATGTTGCTTACTCTTATTCTATTTGCTTTAATTTGGCGCAAAATACCATGTTAAAGAATGCAAAATTGTGTGTCGACAACATATACCACAGTTTTTTTTGCTTCATCTCATGTTTTGCAGTAGTGTAATCTAGGGTGGAACTTAGTTTTCTCTCCAACGTCGTGTAGTTTTTGTATGATATGGTAAGAATAGACGTAAAATAATAATATACCTATTTGGTATACTTATACATCGTGCTAGTATACTACCGTGCAAGATATTTTACAATAATATTAAACACTTACATGTTATATTATTATAATGATATATCTTTTGTTATACTATTATAGAAATATTTGCAGTAATACACACATATATATAACCCCAAAAAGTTAAAAAACAACAAAAAAGAGATAAAAGGTATATTATAATTTATACTAAAAAATAAAAGCTATTCAGTTGGAAAGGAACGAAAAAAAAGATGGTATCAAATTAAGCAAAAAAGAATATAAGAAGAGTATAATTTGAAATGGAAGGAAAGAAAAAGGAAACAAAAATTTAAAAATAAAAAAAGAGAAATAAAAAAGAAAAAGAGCAAAGAAAAAAGAAAAAGAGCAAAGAAAAAAGAAAAAGAAGATAATAAAAGGAGGAACAGAAAAAGATAGAAAAAAGAAAAAGAGGGGGAAAAAGGAGAGAAAATAGGGATCAGGTGGTTAATATAGAAGTTGGAAACTAGAGCAGGTATATTGATATTATTTGACGAGTAGAATTCTTAATGGATACAGTGAGTAATTTTTTTGGAGAATGATACTAAAATAACGAAAGGAAGCAGCTGCAAGGCTTTTCTTGAGCTGCTTGTAAGCTGTCTGCATGAGCTGCTCGCAACCTGCCTGTTTAATAAGAAGTTGCTGCAATCAGAACTGCCTGCATCAGCTGCTTGTAGATAAACTTCAACAGAGTACTAAATGGATAATCTTCTTCAGGAAGACTATCTATAGCGGATTAATAAATGGACATCCACAATATAATAGTTTCATAACATAGGAAAGAGTATAACGCGTATTTCACTCCCCCTGATGAAAACCTTGTTTCAAATATTTGAGTCTCTGCATTCCAATCTTGTATATCATCTTCTCAAAAGTTGAAGTTGGCAAAGATTTAGTGAACAAATCTGCCGGATTATCACTTGAACGGATTTGTTTCACATCAATGTCACCATTTTTCTGAAGAACATGTGTGTAGAATAATTTTGGTGAAATGTGCTTCGTTCTATCTCCTTTTATAAATCCTCCCTTCAATTGGGCTACGCATGCAACATTGTCTTCGTATAAAATTGTGGATCTTTTATCACATTCCAAACCACTTTTTTCTCGAATGAAATGAATCACTGATCTCAATCATTATGCATTCCCTACTTGCTTCATGAATAGCTATTATCTCAGCATGATTTGAAGAAGTAGCAACAATAGATTGCTTTGTGGAGTGCCATGATATGACATTACCTCCATATGTAAACACGAACCCGGTTTGAGATCGAGCTTTATGAGATCAGATAAATAACCTGCATTTGTATAACCAACAAGATCTGCACTACCTTTGTTAGCATAAAACAAACTCATATCAAGAGTTCCCTTTAAATATCGCAATATATGCTTAATCCCATTCGAGCATCTTGCGAAATTAACAGAAACGTTATGTAGCATTAGCAAGATATATAAGTGCCAATTGCACTAAGATAGGATATAGGCAGATTGATGAATAAAGATTCTGTCTGCTAAAGTTCAATTTGCGGCCAAGACAAAGTTTGCCTATCTCTTCTGGAGTTCCAACAAGATTTATGACATCAACATAAACAACAAGTGTAACAAATTCTGATGATATTTTCTTTATAAAAATACATGGACAATAACATCACTTATGTAACTTTCTTTCAGCAAATATTCACTGAGGCGATTATACCACTTGTGTTAGATTGCTTTAAACCGTACAAAGATCTTATAATTTGATCGAGTACGACTTTGAATTATATGCTATCTCAGGAATTTTTATAGAAATTTAATCAAATGAGTCATATAGGTTATGACTTGTATTTAAATGGCATGACATCTTCAGGTGTCTGGACTGCAGGTCCGATCCTCACAATATTTTACAATATTGTGCACTATATTATATCAAATATATTGTCGACGATCATTTCATATCGGTTCGCAAGCGACATAACTTGTTAAGATCTTATCACTTTCTTTATTTTCAGGTACCTGAACTTCTTCGGGAGTTTCATGAAATGTTATGTCGTGGGCTCTTCTAGAGCTTATTTCCTCCTTATTATGATCATTTTGATAATTTACTCCTATCCTTTTCAAAGATTGTCACCTTTGGAACCGATTGATCTACCACGCTTCATGCGTACAGTAAACTCCATCCTTCAGGGACTTTAATTTTAATAGGAGCATTTGCAGCAGATATGATATTAATTTTTAATCAGCAAAATGATAATTCAATTCATATAACATATTTTTCAACTGATTATTCCATCCTCTAATGTTAGAAAAACTAACATATATCCCAAATCTTCTTTGGAAAACCTATCTTTGTGCTTTGTGGTAGAGAAATTAATTATATACCACGCATCAAAAGTTATTAGATAGTAAAAATATTTAGTTTCTGATCCTAAACCTATTGTGAGGGGAGGACTTAACATATATTGTTGGTCTGATGCATACAAGTGCTGATGTATGCAATTTAGAAAATCTTCAAATAAATTTCAAATGCCAAACTGCAGGTTGACAATAATCACACATGAACCATCTCATATATGCATCTATAAGTGGTTCACATGATAGGTGAATGGGCCTGTATTCACCTTTTATATATTTCAGAATCACGGATCTTAGTCCCAGCTTTGGCTTGTATAATCAATTTATTATGAGAACAAGCAACACAAGAGATTCGAATCTTCTAGTTCTTCAGTATATGCTTATCTGAATTCTCAAATAGCTCATTTAAAAATGGCAAATGAAACTTCAAGTTTATCATGGCATGTGCTATCTCTTAGTAATAAACTTTTGCATTAGTAAACTTCTGATTTACTGTAATTCATGATGTAGTACAAATTGAAGAATAAGACGGGTAACTTCTCACATACATATTATTTTACCCCCTATGATTGTGGAAACATGAAGATTTTCAATCTTTCAATCATTTGTAGTCTCAATATGATAGCCATTTGTATTAGTAAACTTCAAATTTACTACAACATATATTTTGACCATAATCATATAATATGAATGACATATTTGTATATTCGTTTATTATCCACAATCTAATATTTATCAGATAATACTGGTGTCATGTGTCTTCTAGACAAACAGTTAGCTCTTCAAGAGTTGTTGATACATTTTGTACTATCAAATATTGCTCAGACACTTCTGGTATTATGAGAGAAAATCATAATTAAATAAAAAAATAAAATAGTTATTTAAGCACAAGAAAACACATTTCATAATATTTCCTACTTCAGGAGGAAATTTCAATTGTGTTACTTCTTCAGGAGCAAATTTAAAATACGGAAAATTAAGTATATATTCTCTCAATCATATTACTTCTTCTGGAGGTGAATTGTAATATATTTACATCAATAGCGCACTCATATTTACGACTTTATTAATATTATCACATTCAGGGAATGTATTAATATTGTCAAAAGTTCTCATTCTTCGGGGATCGGAACATAATTATCTCAACATGCATTAATCACATCAAAGTGTGTGATGTCTTAGAACTTCTTTTACGATTATACTACTTTAGGAGCAAATCTAGGCATGCATGTAATTTCTCTAGCTTTTTTTTCAATTGTAACCATAGAAAGCCTAAATTATCACTTCTGGTGTTCATAGGCATATACCACTTCTGGTGGTTAACCAAATACAATTGCAATGAGATATATGAAACATAACCACTTCCGGTGGTGTATATTTCTTGGCTGGAGTTTAAGTGGATCTAACAATGTTATCCACTTTGTAATCCTTTATTAAGATAATTAGGATGAAAACAAATACCAAAATAGGTATTGTATACGTAGCATATAACCAAGCAAGCGATGATAAAGATATTAAACCAAATATAAGCAAAAGGCTTAAGTTACTTTACACAAATTTGGCCACTCCAGATGTAAGTGATATCCACATCTCTGGAACGAGCAAGACTCCACGGACGTAAGAGCGTCACCTTACATCGGAGATGAACACTGAAATAGAAATAAGATAAAAGCGGAATAACTTTACATAATGAACTGAACCTTAGAAGTTTCAGGAAGCAGCTGCAAGGCTTTTCTTGAGCTGCTTGTAAGGCTCGGCCAAATCATTCAGAGACTAAATGGATAATCTTCTTCAGGAAGATTATCTATAGCGGATTAATAAATGGACATCCACAATATAATATTCATCATGATATCTCGTGGTCGGCGTGCCACACGATCCCATTTCATAATATCTCGTGGTCGGCGTGCCACACGATCCCATTTCATAATATCTCGTGGTCGGCGTGCCACACGATCCCATTTCATAATATCTCGTGGTCGACGTGCCACACGATCCCATTTCTTTCAACACAATACACAATATAATCCCGGCAAGGGGGAAAGATGTTATAACAAGCTATCCCGACAAGGGAACAAGATAATATAATAAACTATCCCGGCAAGGGAGATCCAGCTATAACCAAGCTTATTCAATCTCTACNATAATTAAAAAATATTTAATTAAGTACATACCTCTTACTTTTAGTTACAATCTATAGAAGTTTTCCCTTATAAGAATAAGTTACCTATGAGAATAATGAATGTCTAAACATTTTTTATATGGAAATTGCTGCTGGAAACTATAAGGAAACGAAAAGGCAGAATACATAGACAGACACTTAAACTATCAAAGAAAGTTCACTTGAACACCTCAACTAAGCCATTTTCCGCCGAAACGCTTTTACTATACTTTGACTGTACCAGTTTAACACAAAACACTGACA